CCATACATTCTACCCCTACAATTTCTAAATCTTGAACTTTAAAGAACGGATCATGATATGTTTTCGTTACCCTAGCAAGCTCAAATAAAATAGTCCTAGCATGACCTGGTGGCTAGGGCGCTCGACTTTCAATCTGAGTGTCGCTGGTTTGAATCCCCCCTCACCGAACATGCTCGCCCTTTCAGTCGTGGGTGGCGTTATAGTGTGACGGTTAATCCCACTATTCGTTGGTAAAAGAGTTGGCGGCGGGTGGTGTTGACTAGCTGCCTTCCCTCTAGTCTTACACTGCTAAATTAGGGACGACTAGCGCAGATAGTCCTCGTGTAACTTTGCGCTAAATTCAAAACAAACAAAACCAAAACCAAGTAAAAATAGAAGGAATCAAATATATTTTAACAAAGGTTACTGTGGCGTCATTTGCAGCTGTTCAAGGTTACTGTGGCGTCATTTGCAGCTGTTCAAGGTTACTGTGGCGTCATTTGCAGCTGTTCAAGGTTACTGTGGGCACAGTCAGGTTTTGGTGTATTGGTAAGCACAGTCAGGTTTTGTGTATTGGTAAGGATAGTCAGGTTTTGTGTATTGGTAAGTACAGTCAGGTTTTGGTGTATTGGTAAGCAAAGTCAAGTTTTGTGTATTGGTAAGTACGGTCGGGTTTTGTGTATTGGAGTACAGTCAGGTTTTGTGTATTAGTAAGCACAGTCAGGTTTAGTGTATTGGTAAGTACATTCATGTTTTGTGTATTGGTAAGTACATTCGTTTTGTGTATTGGTAAGTACAGTCAGGTTTTGTGTATTGTTAAGCACAGTCAGGTTTTGTGTATTGGTAAGCACAGTCAGGTTTTGGTGTATTGGTATGCACAGTCAGGTTTTGGTGTACTGGTAAGTACAGTCAGGTTTTGTGTATTGGTAAGCACAGTCAGGTTTTGTGTATTGGTAAGCACAGTCAGGTTTTGTGTATTGGTAAGCACAGTCAGGTTTTGGTGTATTGGTATGCACAATCAGGTTTTGTGTATTGGTAAGCCGTGTGAATCTTAGGAGCAAATGACTGGTAATTTAAGGTGTTTCGCACCTTATTTTCTAAAACGTTTAAAATACTTTAAATTAATATTCACACCTACGAATCTTATCAGTTTACAAAACGAACTTGTAACTAGTTTACATCTTCCAAGATGGCCGCATCCAGTGAAATGTATTAGGTTAGGGCCTAAAATATCGTTGACAACATGTTTAACTGACGTTTCAATAACATTAAGTATTTCTAATCAATTTATCATACAACACAATATTTCAACAATTCATAATTAACTCTGTGTAGTTCTTAAACGTTATCTGTAATAAGCAGTAAAGATAAGAAATGTAACCATTTTTCACTTGACGGGCTAGGGTTAAGGTTTCGAAAAGTTTACGCTGAACTGACTACACATGAATCATGTTTAATTGCAACCACTTGTTTTTCTTTGATAATTATAAAATGAGCTTTAAAACAAGCTCGTACTTTAGTGAACGATTCAAACGACTGAGTGGTTCACCTATCCGAGATCCTGTTTACGTAAACGCTTTCAAAGAGCCTTTCCCATTTTTTGATCATGCAGATTTCCGCTCGTATTGTTAGCCGACCATGAAGCACATTCCTTGCGTTGATATTATGTCGCTGACCTAGGTCACCGAGTCAACGTAACAATGAGACTTGCGTGAAAACTTACTAGTGTAAGCTGTGTGATTTAGTTTATCAAACGACCGGACTGCCGATATCAGACTGCTCAATCGTGTCCTTTTGTTTTTGTTAAACTACTATGAATACAATAACTCTTTTTATCTGTTGGGTTAGACACTTCTCCTCGATGACATCTTGAGTAAGTTCAAAGGTAAGCGCCATTTGCAAGCTGTTCTTACCAATACACCAAAACCTGACAAGTACATTCGTGTTTTGTGTATTGGTAAGTACAGTCGTGTTTTGTGTATTGGTTGGACTCTTATTCCATGGTGCTCTGTCAACGAATGTTATATTCCTGACTCATTAAACATGTTGAAAGTTTCCCGTCAGTACAATTATCTTGGCAATGAGCTGTACACTAAATTGTCGATTCAAGTAAACCTGTTGTTTGTATATAAAACGAGAGCAAGGCGTCAGGGGCGGCTGGTCCCCCGAACCTCCCCGCCAAGAAGTACCCTTTAAATTTTTCAATTCAGATTGCACTTATCTGTTATGGACCTATGAATGTATATATATATATGCATTCAATTTTGACTTATATATATATATATTGCAAAAAACCAAAAATCTCTGACTATCGGACCTTCGGAATACTGGGCTGTTACCTAACAATGTCACGTTCAATGCTTTTATGTTATGATGTTTAGTCTTTAAAAAAATCCTATAATTTTTGTTGTTGAATGTGTGCCCCTGGAAATATATGAAAGCTTAAAAGTACAGTCAGGTTTTGGTGTATTGGTAAGTACAGTCAGGTTTTGGTGTATTGGTAAGTACGGTCAGGTTTTGGTGTATTGGTAAGTACAGTCAGGTTTGGTGTATTGGTAAGTACAGTCAGGTTTTGGTGTATTGGTAAATACAGTCAGGTTTTGTGTATTGGTAAGTACAGTCGTTTTCTGTGTATTGGTAAGTACATTCTATCAGAAGAGCTTGATTCCCAAACCCAATCCTGGTGCTTAAGTATGTGGGCTCTACAGCTAACACTATATATTGCATACAAGAAAATAACATTGGAGAAATGACGATAAACATTATCCACCCATTCATGAGATATTGCCCAATCCTGGTGCTTAAGTATGTGGGCTCTACAGCTAACACTATATATTGCATACAAGAAAATAACATTGGAGAAATGACGATAAACATTATCCACCCATTCATGAGATATTGCCCAATCCTGGTGCTTAAGTATGTGGGCTCTACAGCTAACACTATATATTGCATACAAGAAAATAACATTGGAGAAATGACGATAAACATTATCCACCCATTCATGAGATATTGCAATATTTTAGGTCATATTCTGGGGTATTGTTTTCCATAAAAAACAATCAATTTAACTGTTAAAACTTACATCTTCGGACTATTGGGTCTTTGGAGTAATGGGCCCTTGGACTAACAGATCTACACCCATTGTTTCCCGAAGCTAATTTCGAAAAAAAAAAAACGAAGTACGGGACAGGAACTACTGTAGGAACAAAGGATGCCGTCGACAAAGCTTCAACAGGTGACAACGTCACAGTAATATTGACTGACCATGGAAGTGACAAAATCGAAGACTTTAAGAGAACCACAACTGAAATTGCAACAACTGACGAATATATTACGGTGCTCAGTACTTATCAGACCAATTTTCAAAATAAGCGTAAAACAGAGATCAATTTAGAAAAAGGACCTCATTATAAGGTGGTGTTTGCTTCTGGACAACTCAATGAGTCCCACCCTCTAGATGTGACATTCCCTTTAAAAAACACGAAGAGCGATACAAAAATGTCAGAAGAAGAGACAGCGATCATCCCAGATGGCAGTTTAGATGTCTCTACTCCATTATTTCCAAATGAACTTTCACAGAAAGAAAGTAGTAACTTGGCTACAGAGAAACCAGAAACGCGTGATGAAGAATCTACAAGTGGTTTCGCAACTAATAAGGATACAGAGGATAACAACCAAGATAATTCAACTGTACATTCCGAAAGAAATTCAAGAGCACGTTTGTTGGGAAGGCGTGTCCCAGATGAAGAAGGAATTAAAAGCGTCATAGATCCTAGCCATGAGACTTTCTTTGAAATCAAAGGCAACAGGAGACAAGGAACCAGAACGGGAAGAAATAGAATAGCAGAAAACGAATTTATTACTGACGATACTTCCAGATTAATAGAAAGTCCTCTAAATACTGATGACATTTGCCCCAAAGATTGTCCAATCACCGAGGGCCAAGTCGCAGTATGTGGCACAAATGGAAAGGTTTATGATAGCCTATGTTTTTTACAGAAAGAAAACTGCGGGTGAGTTGTTTTTTCATTTATAGTATCTGATTTATTTAAATCTACACTGACAAACCGCTATCTTTCCGTGTCAATTGTATTGTTGTTTGTTTTAGAGCAAGGCCACATTAAGTTATCTGTCCCCATCGCGGGGAATCGAACATCGGATTTTAGCGTTGTAAGTCCGGGAGACAGCCATCATACACACATCGATCTGGAGGGATTTCAACCACTTATGCATTTTTACTCATTTTTAATTTGAGTAACATACTTACATTGTGATATATTTTTTGGATGTTAGATATGAGACTTATCAATCAATATTATATTTTGATACTTTAAACAGGACCCGGCATGGCCAAAGCGCTCGACTCGCAATCTGTGGGTCGCGGGTTCGAATCCCCGTCCCTTTCAGCCGTGGGGGCGTTATAATGTGACGGTCAAAAGAGTAGCCCAAGAGTTGGCGGTTGATGATTAGCTGCCTTAAGATTATATTTTGATAGTGCAGAAGTTTTGTTTCTCCTACCCGGAAGAAACACAAGAAAGAAAAATATTTTTTTCTCATGTTTTCATTATATTCTGTTTTATTTGGCACATACATTTTGAAAACATAACTTTTAAATATTTTCTTGATCCCAGTTATCTATTTTAAGAATTTGCGAATTTTAATTAGATTATTTCTTTATCTTAATGTATTTTTTCTTTAAACGTATAATTAGTACATTATTTATTAGCCTAACTAATTTGTCTTCCAGTGGAACAGCACTAAGTCTAAGGACTTACAACGCTAAAATCCGGGTGCGATTCCCCGCGGTAGACACAGCAGATAGCTCAACGTGGCTTTGTTAAGATAAACAAACCAAGTTAATTAATACTTAACTATCATATTGCCCCCCAGTGGCACAGCGGTATGTCTGCAGACTTACAACGCTAGAAACCGGGTTTCGATACCCGTGGTGGGCAGAGCACAGATAGCCCATTGTGTAGCTTTGGGCTTAATTCCAAACAAACAAACTATATTATTCTAGTAAACTCTTGAAGACTGCCTACTAAGGAATGTTTAATGACTAATATTAATTCATTTTAGTTACCAGTAAAACATTAGATCAATTCAGGTTAATACCATCATCATCCTGATGATGATAAACAGTAGCACGAACAAAATGATGCCATACGTTCCTGTCCTTCGTCCTACATCATAGAAAATTCCAGACAATCCTTGATGTTGATCCTACAACGAGTTTTCTGACTTCTAAAATTCTGTTTCCCTAGAATTATGCCCTCTTTCCCAAAGTGTTGTTTGTTTGTCTTGAGATTAGTCCAAATTAGTTCATCCTCTTGGTCTTATTCTATGCAGATGGTTAACATTATGATCCAAACCGCTAGATAGAAGATTTTCTATGGCACTATATATTAAAACTATTAAGCCTCCGACAATCCACCCTTTTCAGTATCTACACTTTGCATCAATACATTGCAGTGGGTCACCAATTATACCTGATTTAATAGCTAATGATACTCAAACACAAAATAGTTTAAAGTTAATTTGTTAGGCCTAGTCAGAAAAGTTAATTTGTTAGGCCTAATTAGAAAAGTTAATTTGTTAGGCCTAATTACAAAAGTTAATTTGTTAGGCCTAATTAGAAGGAAAAAGAAAGAAAGGACTAGGCTGATTCAACAACTGCAAAACGTGCAGTCAGTCAAAAGTCTTTTGACGAAATTTATTTAATTAGTTGCTTTTTTTTTTAATTAAATAAACAGTTATGTGTTACAATAACATTTTTCTATTGCAATCGGGTTAACCACATTCTATTAAAAATGATGTTCCAGGCCCCATGGTTGCTGTAATTTCCAAGGCAAAGAGTCTCCGCAAAGGACGACTAAGTCAATCTAGGCTACACGTTTTGACAAACTTTCCACAGACCATCCAGTGTTCATGGACATCAGCTTTTAAGACCGTGTTTAAGCAGCTTAAAGAGATAAAAGTCCATTATAACTGACTTCATACACATGTGGTCGGATGAGCTTGCTCTAATTCCAGTTTTTAAAGCTATCTTTCTCTTGAGAATAGCAGTTGATTTTGATGTATAGCTGGAAGGTTTGGCACTTTTGGTCTATGAGCTTCCACTAGCTTTAAATATTTGTTTATTAATTTGTTAAAGATACAGCTTGATCATTTTATTTTTAACCGCGGCATAGCGGCTCATAGAATGACTCTAAATTTTTTTTAAGCACAAACTTTTAACTAATAGCTCCGTCATAGCTTGTTTCTTTGTAATTAAGCACAAAGCTACACAATGGGCTATCTGTGCTCTGCCCACCACGGGTATCGAAACCCGGATTCTAGCGTTGTAAGTCCGCAGACATGCCGCTGTGCCACTGGGGGGGGGGGGGGTGCTCCGTCATATCTTGACCGATTTAAGATGTTATTACACTTTTGGACTTAGGAGGTCAATACCCTTTCGATTGATGTATTTGACCAAACCCAAGGTCTTATAGATTAATTTACTCTAATCCTGTCTAAAATTATTTCAATTTGAGGGTAGGTTGGTAGAGATCCTGATGAGTAATAAAATCGAATTGAACAATACGCGCGCCCCACGCTTGGTATTGCTGGCGCACAAAAATATAGCTAATAAAAAAGGAAAAAAAAGTATCATACAGTAATTTACTCTAATCCTGCCTAAAATAATTTCAAATGCCGCAGCTACTGAATATTTCCTCTTGTTTTAGGTTGAATGGTTTTATTTCTTAGCCACAGCTTTAACTTTGTAGATGAGTGTAGTCTAAGAACCTGTTGCTGTTCTAAATGCTCTCTTTTCACTTCTCCATGGAGAATATTTAAGGTTCTCTTTTTCCAAATGTGTATTATTTGACCCTACATCTTTGAAAATCTCGCTATACGAATAAACTTCTTCAGAAAGGGCTGTGGCACATGCCTCCAGATCTAAGCCTATCAATGGTGGCATTGCACTGTCGACATGTTCGAGAATTTGCTATGAGCCAAATACATAGGTGCTAAGCGCGTCGCCTGTGCTGCCACAAATTCAACAATTAACTAGCATATACAAATCTCTTTTATAAAGAGTGATTGGTCCTCTATATGCATATGCAAATAAGGTAAAACCCATAAAATTTCTATTTATTAGGTTGTTTTTTAATTAGGGTTAAAAAGTTAGTCTTTTTGTAAACTAATATCTACTGAAACAAAGCTAATTCTCATTTTAAACCAATGAAAGGCAGTCAAGGTAAAAAAAAAGGGGGTAGTTATCTAAACTGACAGACAGACAGAATAATAGACAGAAACAGTTAATTGGGTTACGTACTTACTTGTACAATAGTTTGTTTGTTTGTTTTTAATTATGCACAAAGCTACACAAGGGCTATCTGTGCTCTGCCCACCACGGGTATCGAAACCCGGTTTTTAGTACTTGTACAATAGAAAAACACTGATTATACATTTCATTTGAAAAATAGAGACACATTTGTATCAAAACTTTGTAGCGTAATAATTAAAATCAATGACTTTTGGGTCTCTTACAGCAGTGACGTAAAGGTGGGGAGCTGGGAGTTTTGTAGAGGGCAACACCATCTATGTCCCTCTACATGTCTCGATATCTATGAGCCAGTTTGCAGTGAAGATAGTATTATCTATCGCAATCCTTGTATCATGCAACGCCAGAATTGTGGGTAAGTGGGGTTTATATTTAATTTATATTCGTACTTACAAGACGTGAAATCGTATTAAAGCAGTCAACACTTTTGCCGAGTACAAAAATAATTGTTAATTAATTTTAGAAATGAGTATTATCGGAAAAATGTAAAAATTGAATTCAATGCTAGGACGGTCACATTATTTAAACATTGTCGACGG